AAAGAAAACTGACAACCTTGCACTTGCTAGTTTCAGGTGGACCTGGAAGAATCACCTAAATATTGCCAAAAACTGATTTAGTAGTATTTCTGCCTCCACTGGAGCCAAGAAATGCTAGAAATCGTATGATGAAGTTTCAATTTCCATATCCCAGGGGTTTGATTACATTTGGGTATGTTTTGGATAAATCTACCCCTTTGGAGGGTCATTCACTGTTGCATATACGATACTATTGGCTGCTGAGTTTTGCAGGAGGAGGAAAAGAAGGGATTCGGTTAAAAAAAGGATTACAAATGATCTTCGAGAATCAATAGAGCTGGTGAGAAATGCTATGAGGTTCCATCCTCCTAGAAAGGTGATGCTGAGTCATGTCTCTGAATAGTGGTTTCTTGCTATGGTGTATAACCCAACACTGAGGTAGACGAAGAGCAAGCACACACTGGAAGTGTGAAAAGAGGAAACAAAGAAAGAGAGAGAGAGAGATGCAGGGGAAATCCTTTGATATTTCCTAAGCTAAAGGGGGAATTCACTGAATTAAAATGGATCCTTGAAATTTCAAAGGTTGAAAACCTTCCAATAAAGATGGACGAGAATGCTATATTCCAGGATTAAAACAAGAATGTACTGAGCTTGGTATAGGATCTTACACAACATGGTAAGAATGTGTACTCGCTGCTATGCAAGCACCATCTTCCTATACCGAATTTTCATAATTATAACAGAAAGGCGTAAATTTTCTAATGCATGGCAGTTCAAAAAGTAATCAAGAGAATGTGCCTGAGGGCTATTTTAATGTATGCAAAGCTAGTGACCCACTGTAAATGGGAGGTAGGCTTCAATGAATGCAAAGTAATGCACACATACTAAAGACCTGGTCTGATGAGGGACGGCTAAAATTAACACCCAATTAATTTCCGAATTGACAAACAAATGAAACCCATAAATCTACTTTCTCATTAATTTTCTTGTGGTATAATTTAAAGCAGTAATATGAGGGCAAAAACTGAGCATTATCCATCATAAATATCAAAAAAGATAGCACTGTAACACCATAAATTATGCATATTACCTGTTGTTAAAAATGATTAATGTATTATCAACTTTATCGTGCACTGTATATGTCTAGACTGATCTAAAATCTGAAAATTTCATTTAGTACTTGGGAATAAAGGGTCCAGAAGGAATGGAATTATCCACAGCACATTCTGAGGCTGGCCTGCTGACACAAAGACCGCTTCTTATGCTGTCATCTGGGAGTTCCAGGCTCTGAACTAGACTCATCCCAAACCTTGGGTCGGTGGAGGTTGAGCGTATCGTAGAGGTGATACGCTGAGTCTCCCTGGGGACAGGAGACAAATCACGCTGCTCTGAGAGCATCCCTGCTAGCTGATCCACAGAATGGCATTGGCATTTTTTCACAAAGGGGCCGCTCACCTCCTCTACCCTCTTGGCTGAAGGGAAAGCACTGCTCCATGATGTAGAGAGATTGAGAGGAGAGAGAACAAATGAAGGGGAGGGAAAGTGAAGGGATAATTGCATTCCGCCTGGAAGGTAACAATTGGTGCTTTCTAGAAGTGCCGGAGCGCATCACCTTGGCCAACTGAATAAGGACATAGCTGTGATCCCTGTTGCCGCAGTCTCTCCCCAGGGATCAAACCTGTCACTCTTGTAAGAAGCTGAACTTTAACTAGCTTGATCTTACAGTAGGCTCCCCAGTCCATTTTCACCCTCAAGTCTCTTGAGTAGCTGCTTTACCAGCTCCTGCTTATCCACCCATGTCTTTTTATTTTCTTACTTATCTACATTAACACAACACCTTTCTTGCTCTTTTTTTGGCTAAATGACTACAACGGCTTACCATTTCCGAACAGCCTTTATGGCCACTGAGGAATGAGGTAATTTAGAACCAGTAAAGTCAAGGGGAGACAATGGCTAATCTTCTACATACACCACAACTTCAGGAAAGTAGTGGTTAGAAGACAGGAGTGGTAGTCAGGACCTCCAGGGTTCTACTTCCAGCTGTGCCAACTCTGACTCACTGTGTGTCCTTAAGCACGCCATTTAACTTCTCTCTGTAAATGGTGATTTAAGTTACCCAGGGGTAAGTCAGTTCTGCCAAGAGGGACATAGAAAAAAGTGTAGCAGAAAAAGCAACTACAGGACCTAGTGAGAAAGCAGGAAGAGGGCAACATTGTCTTACAGCTTCAGGGAAAGTAACTAACAAAAGGGCATAAGGAGGCGCCATTAGCTCTGTGGCATTCACTAGTCCTCTGGAAGAACTAGTGCCCAAAGGTGTGTTGAACCACATCAGACAGATAGCTGAGAACATGAACCTCTGAGTGCTAAACAAAATCTCAGCAAAGACTTCAATTTTGAGGGTGGGGGCCGGGGAGGGACAGATAGCTCAGTGGTTTGAGCATTGGCCTGCTAAACCCAGGGTTGAGGGGGCCATTTAGGGTTCTGGGGCAAAAATCTGTCAGGGACAGTACTTGGTCCTGCTGTGAAAGCAGGGGACTGGACTCAATGACCTTTCAAGGTCCCTTCCAGTTCTATGAGATAGGTATATCTCCATATTATATTATTATAGTTGCGTGCACCCCACAAGTTCCACAGGTGCAAAGAGTAACAGCTTCGCAGGAGACCTGACCCGGACACTCTCTCTGCTGCAAACTGTACCAACTCCATCAGCATGAAGGTTACTGGCCCATAACCCACTGAACCAGAGAGGTACAACTGCCTTGACAGCCTAAGCCATAGACCACTCAAATATAGTCCACAAAAGGATCTGTCTGCATCCACCACTTCACTAGGAATTGGATAACCCAAGTCTACCTCACCTTATCAATACTGGTTACAGAGAAATCAGCTTTTTCCAGGGTTAGGTATCTGCATCCTCACCATTCCTTGCGTACCCATCCAGGAGCCATGCCCAGTCTAGTCTCATATAATAAATACATATAATAGTATGTATTATATAATAATATACATACATATAATTAATAAATACAGCCAACCATGCTCTTCCTGGTTTGGCAATTATTAATCTACATATTCAAAATGAAAGTCATGCCTTGATTATCTCGAACTATAAAGCAGAACCATGTCACACCAACTGGCAAATACTATGCCACCCATTTCACAACATGCATCCCAGTTTACTCCATCATGCCATATACTTGCTCTCAGTGAGTAATCAAGTAAACTTACTGTTACCTAGTCTTTTATTCCCTACCTCCTTCTCTACTGTTTTGTTACCATTCGCTAAAGCATGTTTGTGAGCTCCGTGGAGAAGAGCTCATTTCCTTCCATTTTGGGAGACTTTTTTCAAACTTTCAGGCCTGACAGAAATCATCATACTACTACTAGATGGAAAGGGGCTTTTCATTTCTTTTGAAATGAATGGCACACTGCATAGCAATGGACTAGCAGCTGAGAACACTACTGTATTTCCAGCCAGGGTGCAGTGAACTCTATTACCAGGACTTTGATCTGGGCATTACATGCTTTACAGAAATTCCCCTCCTTAAGGAAGCATACTCACAGTTTTAGTGCTGCCATGCTGAGAATGGTAGGGAACGACTCTAAATAGACCTATTTCCATCCCTACCTCCTGTCTCACATTCACGCATGGACATACAACACAAGCTATCTACCTGTTCTCCCCACCCCGATACACACCAATAGACCAGTTGTATTCACACAATTGTGTGCTAAGGCTGAACAGAGAGTGTAAGCTGCTCCAGTGAGTGCTAACTCAAGGGTTGAGATTAGTTCATATGCAGTCAACTCCATCCTGGCAGCATCGGCTCCGATATGGACACACAGATCAATGGAATATTAAAAAGCATTAAATACAAGGCCTGCTTTGTGTTTAGCAAATGCATAGCAGGGCAGATTTACCTTGCCACCGAGGTGTGATGGGGCGATTCCAAACCTTGGAGAGACCAAGGGTTCACTGGGGTTTAATTATAAATCCCCTCTCTCATTAAGGCATTTTTAGCTTCTCTATCACTCTGCAGTACTTAAAATCACTTCAACAGTCAGATGCTGCTTTGTAACACCACTGCACAATATAGTTTCTCATTTCAACATTTTCACTTAGTTTAATATAGAGAGGGTTTGATTTATCATAGCAGTGCTGGTCAATTAATGACTGGCTTGTTAGGTTACACACTTCAAGTACCTTACACTTCACCTCAAAGCCATAATCGCTCTACCGGCCAAAACGAACAATATGTTTGGATCACTAGTGCGAGTTAGTGAATACAATCTATCAGAATTTTGTGCAAGTTTTGTTGCTTGCTTTTCCGGGGGACAATTATTTAATTTTAGCCTTCACAAGCGCCCTATAAATATATATTAAATACATGTATTTTTTAATAGCTAGCCTCAAATACAAAGTAATAGACCCTTCTTCATATAAAAGAGCTATCATTTTTTTCCTCAAGGTCACTTTGTATGCACAGTCCTAACAACTTACAGCTAATGCTCACAGGTCCTGTCTGGCATTAAAAACCAAAGCCATATTCAGAAACAATAACAAACAATAATTATGAAAAACAAAGATGGCGTGAGCTTGTTTTTCTTGCTTGTTTGCAAAACAATGCAAAAAGCACAAACTACCTGCAAAAGCACAAATTATCTAATGAGGACTCTCAGAAAGTAAAGTGCTATTAAATAGCCAGCCTCCAAAATTAGCAGACGTAAATGCTGTTTCAGTTATAAGCAGAAAGAGCAAAAGCAGTTCTATAATGTCATGCGCAAAAGAAGAAAGACAGGGCACAGTTTTTAATTTAGTATTTTCTCTTCATTCAGTTTGCCCTGCTTTCAAATCAGAGGATTTCTTCAGATGGCTTTAGAAATAAAAGTTAAACGTTTTTCCTTTTCAAACTTGATAGAGGGCAGATGCATCAATTAGAAACATATCTGATTAAAAAGGTAAGAAAAAAATATAACCCACTGTGGTACATAATTCAAACGCCGTACATTTTGGTGATTACCTTGTTCATAGCCCTATCCCTTTGTCCTAGACCTTCTAAGTCCTTGTTTGTTCCACACAGAATTTTCTAGCCATCAGATGCTCTATTACTGTGCTAGTCGTCTTGCAGGAGTGCTCTCTCCCTTCTGAAAAAAGCAAACAACTGGATAGATATCATTACACTAAGGAAATCTCTTGGAAAAACCAAACAACTTGCTAATCTTTCTAGCCCCTTCATCCAAGTTAAAGATAAGAAAAGCAAACCTAAGTCAGTTTCAACCACATTCCAGGGACAAGTTCCCCTTTTCTCCTTTATCAAAATCCCAGCATTTAAAGTTTTTTTTCCAGACCTTGCAGGATAAACTGCTGCTCACACCCGCAAACAAAGCAATATTTGTTTAATCACTGATTGCTGCCATGGGTACAGTAAACAAGGGGCCCGGCATTTGTGTTTATGAACAAACACATCATCTTGCAAGAGCAATTTAACATTAACCAGGTGGAATAATCAACAGATTTCATAGGTGACACTCGGGGCAGGACTAATGTAAACAGAGCGGGGAGGAGAAAGGGGCCACTCTCAGGGAATCAAGGTTGAGGCAAATGCATTGCAGAGTAAACAGCTGGGAAGAACTCAAGACAAACAAATAGTCATTCTTCTGACATTTAGAGAAGCAGAAAGGTTGTATGTTACATAGATCAGCTGCTGACCACCATGAAATCAAACCAGTTGGGGACCAGGCCTCCTTGTTTACACAGTGCCATGTTTGCTTATAAACAACAATTTGCTGTTACCAACTTTTGCATTACTCATCATATAAACCATCAGATCAAGTGAAATCTTGTTAACTCTTTGCTGGATTTGGGATTAAAAAAAAATACAAAACAAAAACAGAAAAACACCTTTAGGATCTTTAGCTAAAGGAACCGGCCAGATGAGGAAATGCACTTTCACATGTCTGTCAAAAAATTAAGGTGCAAAAGAGGCAATATCAATTCAGGTGTAATCCTGAAGCAGTTTAAAGAAGGGCCTTCACTGGCATAGTCTGCTTCAGGTTTATTTTATCTTAAATAAAATAAAATAAAATAATAATAATAACAATAATCAGGGAGTGATATTAGCTAACTTGCTAATTTTTGGAATAGAAACGGAAGAGAGTAATCTTTAATCCTGCAGACAGAAGTAAAAATCTACGTCTTGTCAATATGCTGGACAACCGAGGTCACAAGATGTATTTAAATCAACAACCTGCAAATACTAAAGGTAGGGGTTCAAAATGAAAAAAAATATTTCCTTTAAAAAAATGCAAGGAAAGCAGGAACAACAATTCAGGTTTCTTACTGTACAACATAATCCCTGCCAAGCAAAAGGGGTGTGTGTGTTTACATATATGTACACAATGGCTCACTATACTCTATCTATTGACACACATGATACTGATACAGCACAGTATGTTTCACGCCTCCTCCTCCCTCTTCCTTCTTCTATCCTCAACTTCCTTGCTCTGGCCTCCCATTACCATTCTCACATCACTGAGGATTCCCCACCTACATTTTTTTTTTAACCCAAACAGGGCTTTTGGCCCAACATTTTCTCCTAATTCTTGCTCATCAGGATAGAAACTTCAAGCCCTCAACTACCTCTCTGCACCGCCAACAGGAGTTCTGCTGAGCCCCAGCAAGCCCCACCTGTTGCAGGGGAAGGAACCTCCGAGATCTGACATTCTCTGACACTTGGTACATTATTCAAATCTTGTGGTCCCAGGGCTTCCCTGAATCAGGGAAATGTATTTTCCATTCCCATCTCTCATCCCCAGGCCTCACAAGAAGTTGGACACGGCAGTCATCCCTGCAGAGAATTCCACAACTGCTGTGACCTGGGCCTGGATTTCAAGAAAGGCATGAAGATCGGGAAAGATGATCTAGTGCTTAGGGCGTTCGTCTGGGATTCAAGAGACCCAGGCTCAATTCTTTATTTTGCCACTGACATTCTGCATGACTTTCGGCAAGTCACTTGGTCTCTCTGTGCCACACACCCACATCCGTTATAGACCCAGATGGATAAAAGGTGTGAACCAGGTGGTAGAACAGGAGTCAACACGCCAGGAAAATGCAAGTGCTGGTCCATCTCTTTCTCCTCAAAAGAATAATTTGTTGAAGTCTGGGTCACCAGAGACTGATCTAATGATTGCACCCACAATACCATCCCTTCTCCCCTGCCTGTGAGTGATCACAGTCCAGCCTCACAGAACAAATATGGAGGGGGGAAGCGGTTAACAAGATATTCAGATACTTCATATTTGCTTCCAAAATTTGGAACCCACAATCTGAAATCATCACAAACATCAGACACCATGTACAAGTCCTTGTGTTTCTGCACTCGCACATCCTAGTCACCTCAACTGAGCTGCCTATCGATGCTCCTTTTCCAGCACGTAAAAATCACAGTTTATTCAGTACAAAATAACTACTGTATGATAAAAACTACAAGCATATCATTCAAATGCTTTATTGGTCAAATAGATGGATGCTTTTATTAGCCCAACCTTTTTTGTAATGGAGTGCCACTGATGACCCAGTGTTAGCCTCATTCCCTGCTATTAATCACACTTCTAAGAGCTCATTTTGTTTTAAAATCTTAAGAAATTGCTATAATTTAAAGACATGGTGTCTACATAATGGGAAATGCTTCACAGATTGTATCATTTCATATAACACCGTATTTTTATGGGAATGCTGACCACGATACCAAGGTATTACAAAACTTGAGTACAAATACAAAGAAAACCTAAATGTAAACTTTCTTTTGTATTTGTGGTTTGCCATATCTATAATATTTTAATCACAACCTTTTGGGAGTTGCAAAATTCACATGTATATGGCTTACATAGATTTACAGTATAACAACATTCCCTGAACAAATGTAAATAAAATAAAATAAATTAGGATCCCTAATATGAAGACTTAGTCAAGATGTGTTTAAACAAAATTCAACACAATGGTTTCACTCTTTCAGGTACTGTGTAATCTCCATGCCTTGTCTGTTCAGAAAATAAGAATTGAAGATGTCTCTTTATTGTAAGCAACTTCTACAATGAACTAGAAGCATCTTGCAAATTCACCTACTACAGTGAGATTTCAATTAATATAAACGATGGTCTGAACCCATAATTCTTTGCATTATTTAAACATACTTTGCAAAATGTTTTGACAATGTTGACTGTTACAGGAGGGAAAACACATTTAAGACCCAAACGTAAAAGCAACAGCAAAAACCTTCCATTTTGCAAATGTAAAGTAAAAAGCATCTTTAAACATCTTCTTACGAAAGAAAATGTGGTGCAATTATGTTGTAACACAAAAGAGTGTTCTTTTCTCAGTTCTCTAACAAGATATTAGTACCTACTGGCCTTATGAATACTGTGTATAAATCACATCATATTCAGAGTGTCTGAATTAATTATAATAGGAGCTGGAGAGAAATGTTAACTTTCCAGGTTGTTGCTAAGGATTAGCTCTTGTTTACAATTCTATATTTATCGAACAAGAAAAATTTGTCAACTGAAGGGCAAAGAGGAATGCAACTACACAAATGTAGCCATGATATCAAACAAATCAGATATTGCACTCATTTATTGGAAAGCAAACCGCCATTTATAACGTAAAGATGCAAATGAGTCTGACAATATAAATGTGGTTTTTATTTCCATGCATTCAACGTCACTAGATGTTATAAGAAATTATGTTAACATACTCTTAACTCAAGTCTGAGATTTTGAAAACAACACATCATAGATCATCAGGGTTGGAAGGGACCTCAGGAGGTCATTTAGTCCAACCCCCTGCTCAAAGCAGACAGATTTTTGCCCCAGATCCCTAAATGGCCCCCTCAAGGATTGAACTCACAACTCTGGGTTTAGCAGGCCAATGCTCAGTGGTTTGAGCAGACAGATTTTTGCCCCAGATCCCTAAATGGCCCCCTCAAGGATTGAACTCACAACCCTGGGTTTAGTAGGCCAATGCTCAAACCACTGAGCTATCCCTCCCCCTACTGAGTTATCCCCAGGTAGCATTTGTGTGGGGTGCTGGATAGCATAGGACAGGGGTAGTCAATTTTTTTTTTTTTGTCAAGGTTCAAATTTCTTGGTGAAGGTGTAGTCAAGGTCCAGACTCCAGAGAAGAAAATAAAAACAACAACAAAAATGATAATAATAATAAATAAATAAATAAAGAGATTTGGGGATCCATTCATAAGCGTCTGGCGGTCCGATTTGGCCCACAGACCGTCTATTGACTATCCCGGGCTTAGAAGGTTAGAATGGGTCACGGAACCTTTCACCTACATATCCAGCCAGCTAGGTAGTGACCTGAAGTTATTGGATGATGGCTGTTTAGCACCCTATGCAAAAGGAGTTTGACAGTTTCAGACCAGTTTCATATCATAGGTACCTCCATCATAAATAGAATTGACAGCTTTGTGGTGCATCATGGCAGCAATGCAAGGACTACGGGCCTAATCCAACTCCCACTGAAGTTAACAGAAAGGCTCCTGAATGAACATGAGAGAGTAGTCTGGTCTCCACCCCTACAGGTGCTTGTTCAGGTCAGAGTTGAGACACATTGGCAGAACTGGGTGGGGAACCCTGCAAAGCTATTACTCTTGTTCTATGGATGAACAAAGCGCTCTGGCCTCCGACACTTCCATGTCTTTTCTTTTTGCAAACAGGCTGCCCACTAAAGTTAAGGTCGCAAAACCATTTCCATTTGTACTCCCTATTTTTAAACACTCGCAGCATTGAGACATGCACTCGCTCTCACGCTTGCTCCAATGTTTGGTTGTACTGTATATGGAAAGCTCAACAAAAATCTCTTTAGTGGTTTCTGGTTTATGGAGAAGTGGGTGGAATAATGCATTTTCCTATTAAACAAAACTCTAACCACCAGCTTCTGAACTGGGTGATTTGCAGAAATGCTGAGCACCCACAATTGCGAGTGTCTGAAGAATCAGGCCCATAACTCGTAAGGAGAAGTGTGCATTACATTGGCTTTAATGGAAACATATTCAGTCTTCCAGTGTTGACATAACCAGGGGGCGTAGGTGTCAGGGTGCGGCTGGGACAATATACATGTATTAGATGTTTTACAGGGGCGTGTACAATGTATGTGAACACACACACACACACACACACACACACACACACACACACACACACA